GAATACATGTTTCCTTATATCGTGTGTGTATTTTTAGCTCTATTTCAAAACATTCATACATACATTACACTCCAATCAATGACTATAATCACAAATATTTATCTATCAATGAATGTAATGAATGGTATGAATGGTATGAATGAATGTGTCGGACATACAGTGCTCTAAAATAATATAAGTTTGGTTATACTGTATAAACAAATAAACATTTTGTCGTATTTGGTCTAAAAGGAAAAGAGGATTAAATAAGAAACTGTTTGTTTGTCGTGTTGGGACGGCTTTCCTCTTCGTACAGAAGGCTTTCCATTGATTAAAACAACGGCGTTTGACGACAATAGGATCAGCAACGAGTGAATCATAGTTAGCTTGCTTTGCATTGAGTGATGAGTGACTGCGAGCACAGCCATCAGTGCTGACCTTAACCCTCTTTGAAGCCATTATCAGGTTTTATATGGTTTACTATATTTTCTTATGGTTTGCTCTCTTTTATAGCTTATCTTTTAATCGGTTTCCACTGATAAGCAGTTATGTGTTTCACACAAACGCTAAATTGTACTCAACTTCAGTTCTTACCATATATTAGACAAAGGCATAGACTCTATGCCATAGAGTGCGTGAATATTCATAACTTTATAACTCGCAAACATATGTTATCCCCAATAAAACATCGGGTCTGCAGTTGGCTTTGTTTGTAGTGATAAAGGATCGCATGTTAAGCCTAAATAAAGCCGATCCACTAATATTTTTGTCAATAGCATTTGACGCAAAATGTGACATTGAATTCAATGGACAATAAAATAATAAAATTGGCTTAATTAATACATTTGTCATATTTTGTTAACATTTGAATACTATCTACAACTACACCATTGTCTCACTCACTCACATGCTTTCAAACCATAATACATCCTCAATATTAATGCATTAAGTAATAAAACAATTGATGACTAAATAAAAGTTATATTGAGTTTGAAATTGAAAAAAGTCCCAAAGAATTAAGAAATGTGTGATAAGGGGATCGGTAGGAATGGCTTATTATAACAGTGAATAGAGATGCCATATATGTAGAGAAATAATTGGTTGTGGTTTAAGTCTGATTCAGTGATTCACACAACAAGTGAGAGAGGGTTTGAATGTTTGGATCAAATCTGGTTTCTCATCATTAATAGTTACATCGATTGCATAACACTGCATACAGGTGATGTGATCTCATTAAGGTAAGCACCGGTGGCACATAACTGCACCGATACTACAAACCCTAGAGTGAGCACAAGTGGGCGCGCAATGCAACCTCAATCGGCACAGTCTTCGGGACTCAGCTATTCATAGGCAAAGATGTTATAAAAATACAAATTAATGCATGAATTTAGTTCTCGGAGAGTAAAACACAACAAACAAAAATCCATTCAATTGAGTGATAATTATTTGATAATATATGCATTCATTCACTAAATTATTAGTTATCAAGTTATTCGAGAAATGGTTCACTACTTCATGCAAAGTGTGTATCAATTGTGGAGATTCTCGAGATAACCAACAAATGGATAATTATTTTGCAAAGAAAACAGTTTCACGAATAGAGTGGAAAACAAAAATATAATCTATTAATGCATTCATTAAATAGGTTTTCAGCAAAAACAGCTCAAAAGGCTTTCTATAATCTTAATAATAGTTTTGCGAAATAGAGAATCAAATGAAATAAATCTGATATTTGTGTTAAAAATAACAAAACATAACGACAATAGAGGTTATGATCTCTGGAATGATTAACTCAAAAATCTTCAGACATATCGAGAAGAAAGAAAGGATTTTAGCCTTTGAGGCAAACGATGCACTCATGAGATCGCATACAACAGCTTTCATAGCTCGGGGCCATTCATTTGGGACCAAATGTGAACAATCACTCCACACTTGAAACACAATATTAGTGCCATTGCTATCAGCTATTGCTATCAGTCCTATCAGATGAATGGTCAGCGCATGGGGTTATGAACCATAAGATATGTTGTGTGAAGTGTGTGTGCGTTCACCGGTCTCTTCACCGCACCGGTGGTTGTAATGAGAGTGAGAAAAATAATTTCAAATCATAAACCAATTCATTGCATCGAATGGGGTTATGAACCATAAGATATGTTGTGTGAAGTGTGTGTGCGTTCACCGGTCTCTTCACCGCACCGGTGGTTGTAATGAGAGTGAGAAAAATAATTTCAAATCATAAACCAATTCATTGCATCGCTTCCAGGCATACAATGCAGGGGAAGGACATCAGTCGGTCAACCGAAGGACGTTCACAATCCTATTCACAATACCTGTTCGCTATCTCTATGTTACTCTACTCGTCAGACCATCTATTGGCACTCTATGGCCAACTTTATTACCACTTCCACCAAACTATCACTTCACTCATCGACTAACAGGCAAGACATATACCGTATGGCTGTATACAGTGTATAGGCTTTACTATTGTACTCAACAACCAGTTGTCAGATCTTATAAATTATAAGTTATAATAAGTTATAACAGTATAAGTTATAATACTGCACAATATAGTGTACTGTAAAGTGCACACATATATTACCAATTTTAGTGACCGGTGTTTAGCTATAAGTGTCTTTCAATACCATTACTGACGAATACAGAATTGCTATGATTTTGAGTGCAAAGCATAACCAAAATAATCACATAATAGTTGTAAGAATGTTATGGAAAGCAAAACATGTTAAGCATAACTCAAAGTAAATACAAGAGTACAGTAAACGACAACACCGTAGGGAAGGGAAGGTTAGCGGACTGAGGGAAACGTTTGATGGCATCAATACCTGAGCTAAACATAAAAAAAAAAACATGTTAAGCATAACTCAAAGTAAATACAAGAGTACAGTAAACGACAACACCGTAGGGAAGGGAAGGTTAGCGGACTGAGGGAAACGTTTGATGGCATCAATACCTGAGCTAAACATAAAAAACTGGTGGTTTGTGTGATGTGTTGGTTGTACCGTTCAGGTGTTCAGGTAGTTCACAATCACTGTATATATTGTGCATTGTATTCAATTATACTGAGGTACTGGTGGTACGCCAGGTATTGGCGCACACCTCATAGCATTGGGTCCCAACGATAATCAATATATCATTCATGATTTTCTCATCCAATTATGACTAAACAATTTATACCATACAGTACTATACACGAGCACTGAATGCCAGTCCAACACCTGATCGCACAAACCATTCAATTATAATCGCAAAATTCCTCTACTATTGTAAGAATAGGCTCACAATGAATGCAAATAATGGCTAACAGACTATCAGTGCCAAGAGGACAGGGAGGACAGGGAAGAGAGCATAACAGATGGTTTAGGTTTGCTATGAGAGTCAGCAAAGTATTCAACAAATGACTGAATCATCAAATTGTTATCACTTTATGAGATGCAATTGTTAGACAAATGTTTTCATTCACTTCAGTCTTATTTAAAGATTTGGCCCTAAAATGGGTTAAAATGTTAGTTGAGATGAAACACAACTCTTATAACTTATAATCTATTGATTACATCATATATTGAATCTAATTATTAAATTAATTAGAGAGCAATTAGATTGTAATCCCATTTTCACACAACTAACCCATCATTATATTGAGACTACTTTTGAAACTATTTTCTCACATCTAATCATAACTTCATTTGATATGAACGGCTGAACACAAGACAAACACAAACTCAACACAACATCTCAATTGAATTTTGATACCAATTAAGTGTTTCTGTACTATAAAAACACTTATTACTGATAATTAATACATTAATCAATGTAAGGGTACACGAGGTATAGAAACCCTTGTGATCCCACCGACACCTATGCATACAATTCACTTACAATTAGCATTCAATGAGTGTTTCGTTTCAATTGAATTCAATTAAAGTTTCAAATATTCAATACAAATATAAAGACATTTAAGAGTAAAAAGTCAAAAACTGTTCACAAGTATAGAGTATAGAAAGGAAATGGTGTCAAACCTGGCGAATGGTCGGGTCTGGACGTCATAGTACTGACTGATTGGCTCCGTCTTGATGTCCACTTTGAGGGAACAGTTGTCTTGAGTGAGCAGTCCTTTCATCTTATTCTCATCGCTGGCCATCACCGATGTCTCAACACATTGACGGCTAACGGATCACCAAATGTACGAAAAGTGGCACAACTTGTGGACCCACTGTTGGTCTCAATATATCACTGAATTAGTGGTTGTCTGCAGCAGTGAATCAGTTGTACAAAGAGTTGTCAATTGAATGAATGAAGTGATGATTGAGTGATGGTTTGCAGCACTGAATGAGTGAATGAGTGAATGACTGAACGCTTATCTAATGAATGAGAGAACCGTTGCCTAACATAATGGCTGAGAGACTGACTGTTGGTTTGTGTGCCTCTCGTAAACGTATTATGACTTCAAAACCCATTCATCTCTTCAGAGCGCATGTCTTCAGTCATATGGCGATAGAGATGTTCACAACTGTCACTTCATTTCATTCATAACATACGGATATTCATCGAGCCTTACATAAGCCGTCAACACCTCTATCACAGTATTGTGTCATTCGATTGGTTGAAAGTTTTTGAAATGAGTTTTGCATTCATTTGAACGTTATTTGGATAACAAGTGAAACACTCGACACTCAGTGCCTCTGATCCACAAGAAGTGACAACCAGTGCATCAGTACATCGACAGTGTCTTCAGTGCAGTGTTTGTCACAACAATGGCTGACAGCGGGGACAGTGTGGACAGTGCGGGTCAGTTGGGGGCTACCAGTGCTCCGAAACTGTCACTTGTGGCCCAATTTGACGACATGTGTCGGTTCGCCAACTCTATGATTGCTGTCGAAGAACAATGTGAGCACCCGTTGGACCCATTGACCCATTGTCTGCTCATGTCATGGCTTTATCTCTAATCTATACCTCTTATATCCGTAGCACTCATTGATCTGATCCGTAAGTGCGAGTCTAATCGGTTGGGATGGCTGTCCACTCATCGAGAACTGCTGGACGCGAAGAGTAAATGCAAACAACTGGACGAACAGAACCGAGAGTTGGTGTCAAACCTACAACACGTGAGGTTTGGCTTCGGAAAAGAGGTGCAAAACAGAGAGGATTTACTGAAGCAGAGGAATGCGTTGAGGAGTCAGTTGAACGCCATTAAGGACTTTGTGCTGAAGGATCCGGTGGCCAACCAGAGCCAGGAGACCAGAGATAAGGTGCTGTCGTATCTCAATCTAAACCATTTGGAAACAGTCAAAGAAGACACGAACGAGTCTTTCTATGGTCTCGACTTCGATCGCATTGAAGACAACATATTGAGTGAATCGGTGGCCAACAGACGGAAGAGCGGCAAACGGAAGAGCACTGAATGCGAGCCAAACGCCGCCGAACGGACCAAATATGCGATGACTCGGCGCTCGAATGACGGCTTTCTTGAGCCACACTTTGGCGACCGATTGGCCCCCAAAGCCGTGTTCGACGACAACATCGACTTGGATTCGCCGACTCTGGAGACGCCGGCGCCGCGCACTTCACTCAATGCCAACCAAATGCCTGACGAGAGGTATGGCGTCGTCTCGAAGAGCACTCCACGCATGGGTTCACTGAACTCACGGCTCTTCTCAGACGCTAATCGACGCAATCTTTCGCCCATTTTCTCGACGACTCCTTTAGAGGAGAGGAAACACAACTTAATTCAGAAGAAGGCCTTCAAACCGGCCTATTGTGGGCCCTGTCGTGAAGCCATTGGATTCTTCGGCACATTCTTGTGCTGCGAAGACTGTCGTGTGATTTGTCACATCAAATGCAAGAGTCGACTACCGGTGCCATGCATTCCATTCCGCAAACCCAATGGAAAGAGCTCTCAAATGGTGTTAATCGCAGACTTCGCGCCACAAACGCGTCCAATGATTCCGGACTATAGAGTATACAAAGTATTTATAAATATTTTCAGTCAAACCATAGGAGTTATGATTCATAAGAAAACAAGATTTCGAAACAATTGTAAAGAGAAAGTCAAACAAAATTATTGCTCATTGTTTCCATAAAGACTAATATTTGTATTATTTAAGGAAAACTTAAGTTTTCAAAAGTGTTTAATTTAGTGAATTAAATATTTATTAAATAATACATTCAGTGTATATTATATAAAATATGGAAATTCTTGGCTTAAAAATAATCGTTAGAATTAAGGAAATGTTTGAAAATAACTCAAAGTTGGGGTTAGGGTTTAAAATAGGAATCATTGAAAGCATTTCAAAAATGCAAAAAATGTTTGATAATGAATACAACTGATTGTTTTTTAGAGTGTTGTAAAAGTAATTCAATATACAGTACAATCGCGTATTCATCAATCCTTTAAAGTTTACAATTATATTCATTAATAATTCTTTTGTTTCAAAACTTTAAAGTTATTTAAAAGTAAAATTCATATGAAATGAGATTTTGTTTTAAATTTTATTATTAACTAAAATTAAGAACAAATGAATGTATTTTTAAAAACCTAAAAACGAATGAAAAAATCAGGTTTTAATGCATAATAAATGCAAAACACACTTAGGTTTTAGAAAATTAAAACAAGTTTAGTGTTTGTACTGTATATTAAATATAACTTTTAAAAAGTATTCTACTTTTAAAAGATTTGGTGTCGTTTACAGAATATTTGAGTGCATTTAATAAGACATAAATTCATTTTATACTCAATTTACAGCATTTATAGCATTTATACTTACATTTCCAACATCAGCACGAATTCAGTGGCCGTCTCATAGACTTCATGAAGTTTGACGATTCGGTCGCTTTGGCTGGCCGTCAGAAGTACTCGGATCTCATGGTCATAGAGTACCGAGTGCAGTAACCGAGCGGCAGAGAAGAACTAACAGAAGCGGCGTATACAGAATAACCAGAGGAATACCTGTGTTGCAGAGTGAACTCGCTTGAAAGGGGATTTGTGGTTAGTAAGCTTTATAATTACTGTTATAATAAGTTAATCGTAATAATCATATAATACTGTAATCATAATCGGTTCATACGTTAATACATTACTAAATCTGAATCCATCATAACCTTAGGCTATCAACTCATTTAAGAATAAATTATTCAAAAATACATATAATTATCTGATTTTAAATTGTTATCAATTATTGTCGATTAGCTGTTACTTAATGTATTCATGAAATCAAGAAATAAAATGCAAAAAATGATACATTTTTATGGCATTCAATGATAGCAACGATATTATACTCTTTAATAGGAATAGTAATCATTTATTGATATATAAAATATCAGAACTCCTTATGTTTTTTAAGGTCTTTTAGCGACCTTTGCGTCAAATGTTAGGCTCAGATATAATAAATAATTTGTTAAATCTTACGAATGATTAATAATTTTCTAATTTTTTTCATCCAAAATCTGCATTTCAAACACAATTGCTCTGAGATTTTGTTAATAAGCTCCGAGATTGAGGTCAGGGTTTTTCGATGATTTGTATGAAAATACACGGAATATATTGAAAAAACAGATGTATTTGTTATCTTCGTTATGTACAGCAGTTGAACGACAACAGCCTTCAGATGACTTTTGCCCAAAAATGCCGTAAAAGGCGTTCACAAAGCCGACAACTCTTACACCGTATTTTGATTAAGAAATATAAAAAATGCTAAAAACTCACGATTTCTAATAGATGTGGGTGTTCTCCACATTAATATAGAGATGTATTAAATGAAAGTGTGTTAAACACAACTGTGAGACCAAATTGTCACTCTCTATACAATTCAAACCATTCATGTGATCTCTCTATCACTCTATCACTACTCCAAACTCTAACCATATATTCAACGCTATTGTAGTTATCTTTTATTTCATGAAAATCAATACTGGCTATAGGGCTGACATCCAAACACTTCATAATCACTTCAAGTCCTTAATCTCTACTTTTGATTTATTAATTTTTATTAACAATATAGTCATTCATTGAAGCATTGATCAGACAAAACAAAATTATGACCAAAATTATGATTTTTTATAAAACTTTTTATTCATTCAAAAAGAGAGAATCAATTGACAGAATAAGTGAAATAAAGGGATAAAACAAATAAATGAACGCAAAAAACCGTTGGAAACATAAGACATATTTGGTATTCAGTCATAATTTATGATTTATTTATTTATCTATCGTTCAAAAGTTATCGTTTATGTGTCCTTTCAAACCGTTAAGAGTCTGCAATTTCTGACGATTCAAACGAGACTCAACTCAAACTGAATCCTAAAATTAGAAATGAATTGAGAAAACAAATAGTTGTGTAAAAGTCGACAGTATCTCGATATACAGTATCTGTTGATTCTATGGCTGTTTTGTTACACTGTTTGCGAAGAATTAGAGGGAATCGCATGTGAGGGTCATTGCCATCACTTCATGCAATCAAATCAAATTAAATAAAGAAAAAGTTGAGTCAAAATGAAAATTCCCAAAAAGATAACCATTGAATTGCTTTTTTTTGTGGGACTAAAGGCTCTCAAACCCTTAAAAATGGTTATTATTTTCAAATTCCAATTATATAGAAAGTCATATAATAATCGAGTCTATAATGTATTTAATGAATACTACAAAGGAATATAGCACACACATAAAAATCGAGATAAAGTTTTGTAAGTATGTATGTAATGTGAGGTTAGTTACTGATATTAGTGTTTATAAATAGATAGTTACTTACATTACTTACCATACTTACAATGTGTCGGACATACAGTGCTCTAAAATAATAAAAGTTTGGTTATACTGTATAAACAAATAAACATTTTGTCGTATTTGGTCTAAAAGGAAAAGAGGATTAAATAAGAAACTGTTTGTTTGTGGTGTTGGGACGGCTTTCCTCAAAGTACAGAAGGCTTTCCATTGATTAAAACAACGGCGTTTGACGACAATAGGATCAGCAACGAGTGAATCATAGTTAGCTTGCTTTGCATTGAGTGATGAGTGACTGCGAGCACAGCCATCAGAGCACAGCCATCAGAGCACAGCCATCAGTGCTGACCTTAACCCTCTTTGAAGCCATTATCAGGTTTTATATGGTTTACTATATTTTCTTATGGTTTGCTCTCTTTTATAGCTTATCTTTTAATCGGTTTCCACTGATAAGCAGTTATGTGTTTCACACAAACGCTAAATTGTACTCAACTTACCATATATTAGACAAAGGGTATCTCACGCACTTATAAGTATTGAAATATTGAGCGTTTGTATACAATAGGGGTTATTTTGTAGCCCAGACGTCAACCGAAACAAACATCACTATTTCCTAGCGTACAATTCGGATTTATTTCGGCATCCACTAATATGTTTGTCAATAGCATTTGACGCAAAATGTGACATTGAATTGAATGGACAATAAAATAATAAAATTGGCTTAATTAATACATTTGTCATATTTTGTTAACAATTGAATACTATCTACAACTACACTATTGTCTCACTCACTCACTCACATGCTTTCAAACCATAATACATCCTCAATATTAATGCATTAAGTAATAAAACAATTGATGACTAAATAAAAGTTATATTGAGTTTGAAATTGAAAAAAGTCCCAAAGAATTAAGAAATGTGTGATAAGGGGATCGGTAGGAATGGCTTATTATAACAGTGAATAGAGATGCCATATATGTAGAGAAATAATTGCTTGTGGTTTAAGTCTGATTCAGTGATTCACACAACAAGTGTTCAAGGGTTTGAATGTTTGGATCAAATCTGGTTTCTCATCATTAATAGTTACATCGATTGCATAACACTGCATACAGGTGATGTGATCTCATTAAGGTAAGCACCGGTGGCACATAACTGCACCGATACTACAAACCCTAGAGTGAG